TGGAGTCAAAGATGTATTTACATTCCACATTCGCAGGCTATGTGACCCTGGGAAGTCACTTATCCTCTCTGTAACGTGGGGAAAATTAACTCTGCCTAGAGGGTCATCATGAGAACCAACTTAGTTAAAATATCTCTAGGCTCAGCCTGGGGCCTGGCAGTCACTGGTGCATCCTCCCAAGTTCAGTCAAGTGTGAAATCTGTGGGGTCTGGGGGCATTTGTTTCTCAACTAGCTTCCCTAAAGTGTGCAAAAAGTAGCTGTGTGTGTGTGTGTGTGTGTGTGTGTGTTTCTACCAGCCTCAGTGTAAGTGAGTTGCTGTCTCTTGAGGGGCTATGGTGAGAAAGTGGACTTGACATGCACCCAGATCCACCTTCTCGGTAACGCCCAAAACTAAAGGCTTCAGGAGCCCAAGGCCTCCCATGCGTGGAACCCTCCCTTTCCTGGGCCCCAGTTTGACATTCGATACAGCCAAGGGTTACTGGGTTCGTACTAAGTGCCAGGCTCTGTTCTAGGACCCAAGGGAACCAAAAGTCTATAGAGGGCTTGGTCACTCAGCATTAGAAAGCTGTCACCTTCTGCTGCACCACCTCTGCCACAACTCACACAAGATCTGACGGCACCAGTGGGGACAGGTGTATAGTCCATGACACAGGTACAGGCCAAAGGAGACTGGCCCTAGATAGCTAGTGCAAGGGACATTCCTGTCACCCTGAGCAGCTAGCTGGACCAAAACTGTTGGACAGCAGGACAGAGGCTGGCTTTTCAGTATCTGTGATTTCCATTTTGCCCTGTGGCCCATCACCCCTTCCTCAGGCCAGTGCCGGACACCCGCTCTCTTACCAACATAGACAGTGTCACAGCTTGTCTCCTTCCTACAAAGGGGACACGACTGCTGATTGAAGGTATACTTTAGACTCTAGGCAGCCCACAGTATGAGTGCCCTCTGCTGTCAATTGCTGGCATCACACCTTGGAGTTCAACTCCAATTCCAGATCCCACTTTCCTGAAGGTCATCTGAGGTGTATGGATGGGATCAGGACTCCCAGTGCACTAATGGTCCTCAAGGCGATTTTAGGCCAAAGGTGTATTGACAGGTTTTAACAGTACTGACGTACAGATAGGCAGGCATATAGAAGGGCATTTTACATAAAAATCTGGTTTGCTGGCTTCTTGAAAAATCCAAGGATCTGGCAAGAAAAAGTCTGCACTCTCGCATACCAAGAACTGACTGGAACTGAGGGGGGACCTCTTCCCTAGGCAGAGCTTACACTCTAACCCATTCCCTGAAGAAGATCCCTTTGAAGGAAGTCTTTGCACTTATAAAAAGACCTCTTTCCTCAGGAAAATGCTCTCCTCGTTTGAAAAAAATGAAAACACAGAGTTAGTCTAACCAGGACCCATTCTCTGAGTCTCGAAACAAATCTTAGGCCAGGTAGCCTGGGATAGACTGAAAAAAATTGCAAAATAATAAAATGTTTATGTCCTTGATATACAAAAAGAGGTTACATATCAATAAGAAATAGAAAAGCAAACTAATAGAAAAGTGGACAAAAGATACTAAGCAAGTCACAGAATAAGAAAATATATATTGCCAATTAAACATGCGAAACACTCAACTTCACCATACGTAATATACCAATTAGACACATTTTTAAGCAATCATATTAGCTAAAATTAAATAGATATTTTTGGCACTGGTGAAAGATGGGAAAATGGGCAATTTCAAACACCCTTTTGAAAACAATCAGGCAGCACATATCAAAATTTAAAGTTGTCAAAATGTGGTAATCAGGACTTTCATTATAGGATTATGTGTACAATTAAAATTAGAATCAACTTAAATGTTCACCAATTGGGTATTGATTACATTGATTATGTTATCCTACAATGAAACACTCTGCAGCACTTATGAAGAATATATCTTGGTATGTTAATTTTAAAAAGGTGTCCAAGATATATATATTGTCTTTTTTTATTGTAATATAGTCAGTTTACAATGTTGTGTCAGTTTCTGGTGTACAGCACAATGCTTCAGCAAGACATGTATATTGTTAAATTGAAAAACAACTGACATAATAATATGTATTATGACTCTAGGACCCAGGACCTCGTGCATGCTAACGCACTCTACTGCTGAGCTATGCCCTCCCCCCTACTTTTACACCATTTTCAAAGCTTATTGTTTGAAATTCTAAGAATGAGTGTGGGGTTTGGGAAAAAAATTAACATGAGGGAAAACACCAGCACGGCCTATTTTCAAAATGTATCATGATGTAAACAGGTGGCATAGACTCATCGAAGGCCAGAAGGAATCCAAGGTCATCTGGAAGCCCAGGAATCACACACTTCTTAACACTCACTACATTTTTTACTTTGCCTAATACACCCCTCACCATCATGGTTTTTCCCCAGTTTCATTGAGAAATAATTGGCATACATCACTGTATAAGTTTAAAGTATACTGCACAGTGACTTGATTTATATATTGTGACATTCTAACCACAATAGATTTGGCTAAGATCCATCTTCTCCAAAAGATACAGTAAAAAGAAAAGAAAGAAAAACAGAAAAAAGGAAAAAACTTCTTGTAATGAGAACTCATGGAATTTACTCTCTTAACAACTTCCCTGTATATCACACAGCAGTATTAGCTGAAGTCATCATGTTGTACATTACAGCCCTAGTACTTATTTTTTATCATATACATTTTAGTCTATGCATTTTTCCACCACCACCAAATTTTGAAATATTCTTTTCTACTAAACAAACTGTATTTATTACTAATACATTACTAATTTATTCCCCACATTTTATTAAACATTTTACTCTCTATAAACATCAAATGGTCAATATTGCCACAGTGAATTCATATAATCACAGCCCAGCATAAAGAAATGTGACATTCAGGTTGATCTATTTGGTCCCATTAACAAACAATTCATACATTTTTGAAACATTGAACATTTTCTAGTCAAACCCTTCAAAACCCTAGTGATGGAGGTAGTTAGTTGGAGAACAATCTGTCATACATTCTCCAGATGAGGAAATGAGATTCAATGTGTGTGACCTGCTCCTCCCCAAGGGGGCTAGCCCTAGGAATCCTCACTTGTGGAGACACTCAGGAGGCTGAAAGCCAGCAGAGGGTCTGAGGACAGAAATCAGAAGAGAGCCATGGGGAGTAGCAGCAAGCCTCAAAGTCTGACTCTGGTGTCAGACTGGATGGAAGAATCCAGAGCAAGTAACTGGGAATAAATAAAGCTGGGGCAGGAGACATGACTTGTGAGTATTTTTTAAAAAGATAGTCAAAGCAGTGATTCTCAAAGGAGGAAATATCAGAATAAAAGGGCATAGGTAGATGTAGTCTGAGAAAGCATTATAATATTATATTTGGAGAAAAATACAAACTATTTTCGCCAAAAGCAAACTACCATAAAGAAAGTTCTAGAAAATCTTGACTGATGAGCACTTGTAGAAGAAATATTAATTCTCATACCTCCTGGGAAAAGGAGGTAATTTTTATGTGACTGTAAAAGGGGCAGTAATTTTTTGGTTTGAATTTGTAATTTGCTTTTATAAGCCAACTGGGATATAATAGAGAAAAGTAGACACCCTAGGGAGGAGAGGAGACTCTCCCAGGGGGATGTGGCAAGTCATTAGGATGTAAGTACTAGGGACCTGCAGTGGGCTGAAAGTTTGTGTCCCCCTCAAATTCATATCTTGGAATCCTACTCTCCAAAAATGATATTAGGCAGTGGGGCCTTTGGGAGGTAATTAGGGCATGAGGGTAGAGCCCTCCTGTATGGAATTAGTTCTGCTATATGAAGGACCCCAGAGATCTCCCTTGCCCTGCTCCACCATATGATGATACAAAAAGATGAGTATCACCTGCCACTGAAGAAGACCCTCACTGAAATCCAACCATGTTGTCACCTTGATCTTGGACTTCCAGCCTGCAGGATTGTAACCAGTAACTGTTAACTGTTTGTAAGCCACTCAGTCTGTAGTACTCTGCTTTGCAGCCCAAACTGACTTAGACGGGACCTTGTCGGCTTGATTCTGCTATGTCTTCAGCATCTAAATCAGTGCTTGGCACCCGGAAGGGGCTCAATTAATAATGTTGACTGAATCTGTTAATGAATATCAAATTCAGGACTAGATATATTGAGTCTCTGTTTATCCTAGCCAATTCTCTAACAGAACCTGTAATTAATCTTACTAAAGTAAATTTAATATCTAGCAAAACTGTTAGCTGCCTATCCTAACATCCATTTTTTCTTCCTCCTTAAATATCCCAGCCTCTCTTGCAGCTACATTCTGACCAGTGAGACGTAAGAAGTGTTACATGGTACTTGCATGAAGTCTTCATAAAATAAGGGAGGTGCTCCTTTCTTCCTTCCTTTATCCTGCTGCCTGAATTGCAGAAATGGTGGGTGGGAGATCAAGCAGCCATATGGCCCACAGGCTGTGGACAGTTAAGATGACAAGCAGAAAGACGCAAGAAACCTAAGTCCCTGATAACCGCAGGGACTATACCCACCCTGGATTGTCTGCCTTCAAACTATTTTTGTTGAGGAAAAATGTGTTACAGCTCGGTGTTACAACTCAGTTGTGACAGCAACCTGGAACCAGGCAAGAGACCAACAAGCACTCAGAGAGTTGGACAATTTAGGTTTATTACGCCAGCAGGGGCAGAGAAGTAAACACTTCAAACTCTGAACCCAGTCCATAGGTTTACACAGACCTTTTATAGGCTGCCAGTTTTACACTTTGCAACATCATGTGCAAATAAAGTACACAGAAGTTGACCAACCATGAACAAGCTTTGTAGAAACAGACCAATCAGGAGTGAGCTCCATGCAAATGAAGTACTACAAATAGACCAATCAGAAGTTAGGGGAGTGGACCAATCAGAATTGAGAGTAATAACCAATCAGAAGTGAGAGTAATAACCAATCAGGAGTGAGAGTAATAACCAGTTAGAAGTGAGAGTAATAACCAATCAGGAGTGAGAGTAATACCAATCAGGAGTGAAGGAAATAACCAATCAGAAGTGATCTCAGGGAACCAATAGGATTCTAGGTGTAAGTTAGCCGCTTTAGAGGCAAAAAGTGAGATAAATCTTCCCAGTCAGAGAACCGGACGCTAGTGGGAGGAGAGCAGCGGCCCTGCCTAGGGGTCCTGCCAGTCTTTTTATGGGGTTTCCTGCCTCACTTTTACAGGAGAGGGAAATAAACTTTTATATTTTATACACGAATAGATTTTTCTGTTGTAAACAAAGCAAGTGCATCCTGATCCGCACGGCCTGCACTTCCCAGACTGCCCACAGGGGGCGCTGAGCCCTCCTCAGTCAGGAGGTCACGTGAGTTGCACCGGCTGACTCCGGAACCTGTGTGAGCCGAGCGCCGTCTCCTCCTGCGCCGCTTGGCGTGGCTTCTGGACACCCCAGGGCGGCAATGGGCTGTCGCTGCTGGGCCTCCTTAGGACCAGCTAGGGATTCAGCTTCAGGACAAGACGAGGCTGCTTCCATGTAGAGAGGAGCCTGGTTTCCTCAAGACCCGCCCAAAAAGGTGAGGAAAAAGGGAAGAGAATATGAGGAAAAATGGGGGGACTGCCGATGTGTAATTGACTGCTGGGGGAGGGGACGGGGGTCTGTCTTCAGACGACCCAGGAGAGGAAGGGCTTGATACGGAAAACTGGATTTTAGTCCGTTTTGTGTGCGATGTAGATGGTGTCCAAGGTCATTCTTTGGTGTGTGGTATCCAGTTTTCCCAGCACTATTTCGTGAGGGGTCTGTCCTTTCCCCACTGTATGTTCTTGGCCCTTTTGTGGTAAATTAATTCACCACATCCGTGTGGGTTTATTTCTGGGCTCTCTGGTCTGTTCCTCTGGTCGCTGTGTCTGTTTTTGTGCCAGGACCACACATTGTTTTGGTGAGTTCATAGTACAGTTTGAAGTCGGGGAGCAAGACGCCTCCAGCCTGCTCTCCTTTCTGAGGATCGCTTTGGCTATTCCGGGTCCTTTGCGGTTCCACACAAATATTAGGATCCTTTTCTCTAATTCTGTGAAAGATGCCATTGGAATTTTGGTAGGGGTTGCTTTCAGTGCATACATTGCTTTGGGTAGAATGGACATTTTAACAACATTCATTCTTCCAGTCCATGAGAATGTGATATCTTTCCATTCATTTGTATCTTCTTCAATTTCTTCATCAATGTCTTAAAGTTGTCAGTGTGCAGGTCTTTCACATCCTTGGTTAAGTTTATTCCTAGATGTCTTGTTCTTTTTGATGCAATTGTAAATAGGATTGTTTTCTCTCTCTTTCTGATGGTTCATTATTAGTGGTTAGAAATGCAACTGATTTTTGTGTATTGATTTTGTAACTTTACTGAATTCATTTATTAGTTCAAATAGTTTTTTGGTGGAATGATGTGGAAAATTGTAACTGTCTAACTGTCATGTGGGTGCACTTCCAGGAAGTGGCCGGTTCCACAATGTAGCAGCAGTAACCCAGCATTGGCTCTATTTGTTACCTGGCCCCTGCTCCCCAGTAACCAACCCCTCTGGACCTTGAATCAGGACCCTGTAAGTCCTGGGACAGTGCTTACGGTAAAGATTTTCCACCAGCATGTTGCTTCCTCTAACCACAACCCTCCCTTCCTTGTTCATGTAGTTCCACAGATGCAGGGCATAGGAGTTGTTGAAACTCGGCTCTGTGTCCCAGACTTCATAGTAGCGCCTCCATGCTCGAAAAGAGATGGGATAAAATCTTTGGGGGTGTAGGAAGGACAAGTTCAAACACTTGAGGTCACTCACCTCCTGGAAGTCTCTGAGTTTGCACCACACTCTCAGAATCCTCGTCATCAAATTGGGACCCTGATGGCCCCAGATACCTGGATTGTAATTTTCCACAAAGTTTTCCATGCACTCCCACAGGAAACGGTGGTGGGGGAGGAATCCAAACACCCCGTTACTAGAGAACTGAGAATCCTGTGCAGCCAGAAAGTTTTCCTCAGGGATGGGCCTGATGGAGATGACATCAGTGTCCATATAGACACCGCCATACTTCCAGATGATGGCCAGGCGGGCCGCATCGGAGCTGACATGGAGCCAGTTTCTCTCTTTATTGCTGTTGATCTGTAGAAGCAGGTGCAAATCAGCCCTCAAGCAGGGGAAGAGGGAGGGGTGTCGCAGCAGGAAGCCAGACCCAGGGTAGCTGGGGAGGAGGAAGCAAGACAACTTCCCAAAAATCTCTTTGCCAAAAGCCCAGTTTTCCAAATTTACCAAACTTACCTCCACTCAAAAACATTGCCTTTAAGTAAAAAGTTTACAGGAGGGGAGGGCATAGCTCAGTGGTAGAATGCATGCCTAGCATGCACAAGGTCCTGGGTTCAATCCCCCATACCTCCATTAAAAAAAAAAGGTTAATTACCTTCCCCCCAACAAAATTTTAAAAAATAAATAAAATAAAAAATGAATAGAAATAAAAATTTTTAAAGTAAACAATTTACATCAGTCAGTATCAGTGGGAAGTTTTAGCTGCTTTTAAAGATTTCATGAAATTGTTTTTAAAAAAAGAAGTGCAATAGAAAGATAAAGAAGAAACCCATAAGTGATTTCACTATGAATGGTATGAGTCACTTTCTATAGGGTGGAAATTAACCACAAATATGAAACAGTGAGGAAAGAATTTTTTTAACTCCTAAAAATGCTGAGAACTGATAAAGAAGAAAATAAGCTAGGGAACTGGAACTATAGGACAGATTAATATGTGTGCTGTTTGAGAAATTGGCAAAAGAATCTTAAAATGCATGTATGTGTGCCTGCCTTTGTCCATTAATCAATTCCTTTAATAATATTCAGTGAGGGCCTACTTACTATTGACCAAGGTCAATTACAGCTGCTAAAGATACAGCAGTGAACAAACAGACAAAAATCCCTACTGATGGGAGATAGATAATAAAGAAATAAATATATAATATATTAGGTGTTCATCAGGACTAGGAAAGAAAAAAGCCAGGCAACAGGGAAGGAAGCAGGATGGAGCACTATTTTATCTTGAGTTCTAGCAGAACCTTGAATGAAGTGGGTGGGGGAACCATGCCATTATCAGTGAGAAGAGGATTCTAGTTAGAGGGAATAGCATGTGCAAGGGCCCTGGGGCAGGGGTGCACTTGCTGTGTGTGGAAACAGGGAAGTGGCAATGCACAGTAGTGAAAGGAGAGGGGAGGAAATGAAATCAGAGAGAAGTGGGGAGCAAGAGTGAGGGAGCAAGGCTAGGGTAAAGACTGAAATGATTTGGAAGGTTTTGAAGAAAAGAATGATGTGATCTGAATTAGATATGGAAAGGGTTACACTGGTTGCGGTATGGAAAATAGGTGGAGTGGAAGGTGGCAAGGGAAAAAACAAAGAGCCAAGTTAGGAGGCTTTTGAGATAATCCAGGCAGGAGATGATAGTGGCCTGGACCAGGGTGACAATAGAGGAGGTGACAGAAGTGATCAGATTCTGGGCACCTGGTAAAGATAAAGCTGATCAGGATTTACTGATGGATTGGATGTGGAGTGGGAGACAGGAGTCAAGGATGACCAAAAATGCTAACATGTGAGCAAAAGAGAAAATGACTTTTAGAAAAATAAAAATAAATCATAAATGCCAGTGTTTCTAAATGGGATGCTTAACTTTTGAACACAGGAAACAAAATAGATTTTTTGAATTTAAATGTGTTGGTTAAAAGAACAATGACCCTAGGCTTTTGACAAAATAAATATTTTTTAAAATTCTGCTCTAAAGCCAAGTGAAAAGTCAGCTAAGACTTTGCAGAAATTTTCACAGGAGTTATGAACATCACCATATTGTACACAACTGCTAAAAACTTCATAAATAATAATAGCTGAAATTTATCAGTAGCAGTTCTAAACTCTTTATAAAATCTACACAGATCCTCAAATAAAGATAGGTACCATGATGTTTCCTATTTTTCAAATGAAAAATCAAAAGGACCAAGAAGTTCAGTCATTTGTCCAAAGTTAGAGAGGTAGATGTTGGTTTCTAACCCAGGCAGTCTGACTCCAGAGATCCACTCATTCAAAAGAAACAAGGTTTTGGGGGGAGGGTATAGCTCAGTGGTAGAGTGCGTGCTTATGCACAAGGTCCTGGGTTTAATTCCCAGTACCGCCACTGAAAAACAGAAAAGAAACAAGGTTTTGGTAAAAATAAGTAAAGTTGATTATTTGGTAAATTGGTGATTATGAGTGAACAGACCCAGATATCAAAAGCTGCACAGAACCAGAGGAGGAGAGAGTCTGCCTTGATGTGGGCATTGGACTAACATCAGCCTGAAACACAAGGGCTCCCTGGGAGGTGAGCATCCGAAAGGGAGATAGGATTCTGACCTACTCACCCCTACAATACTCATCCCTGGACATCTTCAAGGGCTACAGTTGCCCAAATCAGCAAATCTAGTGGTCACCAGCAGGTGATGGCACACTGGGTCATCCTTGACAGCTGGCTTCCAGCTATCCTAGTGGCCTTACTGGGGCAGAACGTGCCACAGCCCAGCTCCCCAAGGTTACAAGTGTTTCTGCCACCCAAGACAACCCACCTAGTCCCCAGGCCGAATGAGGGCTGGACAAGAATTTTCTCTCTTTTTATATAAATACTGTAGTAGGCTACTAACAGCCACTCAGTGGTCCTAATTCCTGAAACCTGTAAATTTTACCTCCTATAGGAAAAGGGTCTTGAAGAGTTAATATAATTAAGGATCTTGAGAGGAGGATCCTGAGGGTTATCATGGGCCCTAAATGCCACCACAAGTGTCCTTTAAAAAGAAAGGTAGAGGGAGATTTCACACAAAATTCCAAAATTCCTAAGAGACCCAGGACTTTCTCAATCAAATCTCAACATAACCCAGTCTCATATAGCAGCATTCCATCTGATCTTTCATGAATTTTCTATTTACATCATTTTCAAGTTAAATATTGCCTGATTTCCCCCCTCAGGTACAAAAAGTATTTACCATAGATGTTCTTAAAACTGTCGGTGAAAAATAAGTGGTCTATGCACCTAGAAAAGATATGGAAACTCATCCAGTTAAAAATAGTCTCCAAAGTAGCCTGGATCCTAAGAAAAAAGCTGGAAGAAAAAGGTACCAGGGTACAGACATACCTAAATTAAGTCTCTCCTGTTTCCTTGAATCAGGACTCAATATTATAGAAAGAAGTCCAGACAAGAGTCAAAGGATCTGGGTTCTAGGAGCATCTCTGACACTGAGTCCTTACCCTCAGTGTTCCCATCTATAAAAGGACTAGATTGGATCCATTTTCTGTGGTCCCTCCCAAGGCTGACCTGCTAAGAGTCTCTGAACACTTACTCTAGTGTACCATGAAAACAACGGTGTGTCTTCAAACAGGCTTTTCATATCCAAAGGGAGGAGGAAGACATTGTCTATCGCTGAGAGGAGGGAAAAGGCTGGGGAGGTAGAGTTGGGGGACAGCTGCGTGGAATTGTTGAGACCCTTCATAAGTAACAGCACAGGCTGCTCTGGATAAGTCTTGGCAGCAGACTCCACTGCACAGGAGACCAGCGGGGAGGGCTCCGTTCTCTCCGAGGTCTCTAGGAACACGATGCAGCGCCCGTGGCCCAGGAGGGCTTCCAGCCCCTGCTGGGACTTGTAGGGCAGCAGGTGGAAGAAGAGAAAGCTGGACTTCAGGCTGAGCTGGTAGAGGAAGCCACAGGCAAGCAGCAGGATGACCGACAGGGAGAACTGGAGCCTCGTCAGCATTTCCACTCCTCTCTCCTGGCCTGCTCCCTAAAATCAAGACTGTCAATTAAAACGTGTGTTCACAAAACCTGGTAAAGATAGCACACAAGAAGGTGATACGTGAATATCACTTCTAAGCTTAGATTTTTTATTGAAGTGCAATTGATTTACAATATTAGGTTAGTTTCAGATGTATAGCATAGTGACTCAGTATTTTTTTAGGTTATACTTCATTAAAAATTATTGCAAAATAATGGCTGTATTTCCCTATGCTGTACAATATATCCTTGTTGCTTATCTGTTTTATGCATAGTAGTTTGTGTCTCTTAATCCCATATCCCTATCCTGCCCCTCCCTCCTTCCTTCTCCCCACTGGTAACCACTAGTTTATTTTTTATATCTGTGAGTCTATTTCTGTTTTGCTATATATACCCATTTGTTTTATTTTTTAGGTTTCACGTATAAATGACATCATGCAGTATTTGTCTTTTTCCATCTGACTTATTTCACTGAGCATAATAGCATCTAGGTCCATCCACATTGCTGCAAATGGCAGAATTTGTTTTTTCTTTCTTTTTTTTTTTTTGCTAATATCCCATTATATATATATATATATATACACCACATCTTCTTTACGTGTTCTTCTGTTGATGGACGTTTGGTTGCTTCCATATCTTGGCTATTGTAAATAGTGCTGCCATGTACATTGGGGTGCACGTATCTTTTCAGATTATTTTTCAAAATATTTTTGTTTTCTTTGGATATATATCAAGAAGTGGGATTGCTGGATCACATGGTAGTTCATTTTTAGTTTTTTGAGGCACCTTCATACTGTTTTCCATAGTGGCTGCAGCAATTTACATTCCCACCAACAGTGTTCAAGGGTTCCCTTTTCTCCACATCCTCACTAACATTTGTTATTTGTAGGTTTTTTGATCCTAACCATTCTGTCAGTTTTGAGGTGATATTGTGGCTTTGATTTGCATTTCTCTAATAATTATAAGCTTTGATTTTTAAAATTCTAAATAAAATATCAAATCTAGCAATGTCAAAAAGAAAAGTGCATTGATTAGGGTTTATTTAAGGATTTTTGCAATAGGAATTTAAGGATGATTTGCAATAGGAAAATAATTAATAGGAAAACTATTCATGAAATGCATTATTTTAACAGATTAAAGAGGAAAAACTATATGATCATTTTGGCTCAGTAGATGCCAAGAATAGGATAAAATTTGACATCCATTCATGATTTTTAAAAAGTGCAAGGAAACCTCGTGTCTTAAGCTGACAAACAATGTTTACCAGAACATAGAGCAATCATTATACTTAATATGAAGCATTTGAAACATCCTCATTAGACCAGGAATATGGTGTGGATATCCATTGTCACTGTTACTATTAAGCATCATTCTGCTGAGTCTAACCAGTGCAGTGAAACAGAAGAAAAGAGTTTCTACACAAATGAACTTATTTACAAAACAGAGACAGACTCACAGACATAGAAAACAAATTTATGGTTACTGGGGAGGGAGGGGAAGGTGGTAGGAAGGGGTAAATTGCGAGTTCAAGATTTGCAAATACTAACTACTATATATAAAATAGATAAACAACAAGGTCCTACTATATACTATATGTAATATAGTATATAATATATATATATATATGTAGGCACAAGGAACTATTTCAATACCTTGTAGTAACCTATAATGAAAAAGTATATGAAAAGGAATGTATGTATGCATATGTATGACTGAAACATAAAGCTGTACACCAGAAACTGACACAACATTGTAAACTGACTATATTTCAATTAAAAAAGAATTCCTACTGTGAATATTAGAAAAGAAGTGGCAAAAATATCTCTAGAAAATATGATTGCCTATATAGAAAATCCAAGATAATTCTCCAAAAAAACAAATAGAGCTGGAAAGAAAATTTAACCAAAGAAGCAAACCAAAGGTGGGAGTTAAATAACGTGCCAAAGTTACACAGTTAGCAGAGCCATGACTTTTACTTAGGTCTACCTGCCTCCAAAGCCCAGGCTCTGAGCAGTTATCTACAGTACCTCCCTCTCCTTCAATGTTAGCTCTAACTCCAGTCAACTCCAGCACAGCAGAGATCTTCATTCATCAGTGATCTGTTTTTGCATTACCCCGTAACTCTTTTAGAAAATACAAATCCATTAATCACAGCTTACCTTCTAGCCAGAACTTGCAGCTAGCCAATACCTGCAGTCTTAGCAATGATGACAAGTCTTTTCCTGCTATACTTTCTGATAAATCACCACCTAATCTTCCAACACTGAGGGAAGTAAATCATTGGCAGAAGATTAATGCTAAACCTAAGAAGTTCCCAAGAAACTCCTCCCTTTACTAAGTTGCCCCAAACACAAGGACTTGGGGATTGTAAGGGGTTCACATGACTTTTCAGGTGACCCACACACTAATCCTGCCTGTTCATGGGTCCATCAGAAGGGTTATAAGGCAACAGTTTCAACTGGAGAAAACTGTATTGTAGCATAATCCTGGCACCAACAAAGTGTGCGCCTGAGCAGTTTAGACACAGTCGAAATCATGGGCAGAGACTTGGGGAAGTTTCTTCACCAGACATCCCTGTAAGCTGGTCTGAACTTTGCAAACCCAAAGTTTTGTTAAAAGAAAGGAAAATCCATTGCCACAAATGACCAATGGACAAACCCCCGTAGTCCAAGGGCCTGGAGACATGGAATGAGAATTGATTCCCTGATTTAGTTACAGTGGCCTCAGGAAGTGTCCCTTTGCCCTGAAGTCCCACTTATGGGGCATGAGTTTCCTCCCAGTCTCATGAGGTCACCTTCATAGCCCTCTCCTGATATGGCAATCCGCACATCTCCCTAGATACTGTCACTGTCCTGTGGTCTGCTCTCTATCACCCCTAACATGAGCACTTAGTAATCCTCTCTCAAGCCACCCTCTGCTCTGTCTTCATCTGGAGCCTTCTCTCAGCCGTGAGCAGGTATCCGCAGTTCCCTCTGGATGCTCTGGTGTGAACAGGGAAGGTCCCTCCTGAGCAGACTGTGAATCCTGATACAGCAGGGGAAGTAAAGCTATTTTTGCCTCCTGTGAGACACTTCTTACTTCCTGCGTTATACCATAAACCAGATTTGGTCAATCCAGTGGATTATGGAGCCTGGGTAATTGTTGCTGAGTGATGAGGCCTTAGGAAATGTGGATTGGTGTAGCCCCAAATAAGTGAACAGGATGGGGTAAAACCTCTGAATTTGTTGTTCTTTCTGTTTTATGATGCTGTTCTTTGGATGTTTGAAGCTCTGGCAAAGAAAAGGCAGTACAGGGAGGAAAATCAAGGAACCAGAGCAGAGATTTCTCCATTCTTTGGCCTGTGAATAACCTCTGATAACTTCATTTGGAAATAGTTCAGTGTTTGGGTCTAGACTCCCTCTGCTATAAAGAACTCACTGTATCAAGAAGAAGGAGTTAAAGGAATTTTTAACGATAAATGTTTGTTGAATTTAATTACTTGTGGAAAGCCTTCCTTTTAATTCTGTAACTTCTTTGAACTCCAGTTTACTGCAGGAAGGAAATATTCAGGCCAACAATGCTTGTCTTATTTTCTTTGGAGCCATTGGGACCACAGTTCCGGTTTTTAACATATTTGCTAAGCAAATAGGACTGATAAACTTGTTAAAGCATTCAGCCATTAGCAGGACAAAACCAATACACAGAGTGATATCTTATCAACTTGCCAGTTCCTTTTGCCACTGTTCTGAAGTTGAAACAGAGACCTGAGTGTTGAGTTTCCATGACCAGAGAGGAGATCTCTGGACAAAGACAATTCACTGTAGACTGAGGAAGAATCCACAGCCTGACCCTCAGGAACCTGGGGGGAGAATAACTGATGCACATTGAGAAGTGACATTGTCAACATTAAATCTTGAAAAAAAGTTTTTACTAAAAATAAGTGAGTTTGTGCCAGAGTAAAATCCCCTTGTCCCATGGCGCTATTTTAAACTATTCTGCATCTCCAAGAAAATGGTGCCAACCTTCTGTTTTTGAAGGTAAAGATTTTTGTACTCCACACAATCATACTAGTCAAACATGGTCTTGTTTACAAATCTGACCTGGCTACCAAGAATGTGCTTCTGGGTTTGTTCTGGAAATTACTGTATCCACTCATGTAATCTTCCCCCTTTTTAAATTTACTTGCAGATAGAAGAAGGGATGGGGGATAAGAGCAGGGAGATAAGGGAAAATAATTGTTCTCAGTGAATCAGTTGTGCCCCACATGCCACTTTTCCAGGCTGAAGAACAGTGTCTGCAAGTCCGCAGAAGTCTGTGGAACCAGTCTGATCGTGAAGAGCTGTTTGAAGGGGCTTTGCTGTTAAGTTCCGTAAGTCAGGGTTTAGTTTCTTCTTCCTATAAGGAATTGGGAACATCTTGGAGCCACCTAGGAGCCACCTATGCGAAGTGTCCACATACCTGGACCTTTATAAAGACTGACTGACCATGAGAATGAACACTTCCCATTCTGGCTGAAAGAAACTGTTATGGACTGAATGTTTGTGCCCTTCCACCCCCACCCCCACCAAAATTCATGTGTTAAAGCTCTAACCCCTAGTGTGATAGTATTGGGAGATGGGGCCTTTCAGAAGTTGTCAGGTTTAGATGAGATCATGAGGGTGAGATCCTTATAAGAAGAGGAAGACAGATCTCTCTCTATGAGCACACACAAGGAATGGCCATGGCAGGACATAGCAAGAAGACAGCTGTCTTCAAACTAGGAGCAGAGTCCTCACCAGGAACCCAGTCTTCACCTTGACCTTAGACTTCTCAACCTCCAAAACTGTGAGAAGTAAGTATCTGTTGATTAAGCCAGCAGTCTGCGGTATTTTGTGTAGCAGCCCAAGCTGGCTGTGACAGAAACCCCACAGTGGGCTGCTTCTATCTGATCTCTCTCTCCATCTGTTTTCATGAGAATCTGTTTTTGTACCATGGGTGAGGCTGGAGCTGCTCTTCAGATTTGGAGAACTGAGACCAGGCCTCCAGTGGGGAAATGGCAACTTTGTCTACAACAGAAACCCTTAATAGGCAGAACTGTCTTCCTCACCTCTGCATTCTCTTCCTTTTGTCCTTCCACACAACCCACAGTCTGTCTTCTTGTTACACCGCTTCTCTTTAAATGGAGATCCCTGGTCTTCCTTATCTCAGTGCCTGACAATCACTGTGCACTCAGTACCCAAGTCAGAAATCAGGGAGTCATTCTTTTTTTTTAAATTGAAGTATATAATTGATTTACAATATTATATTAGTTTCAGGTATACAGCATAGTGATTCAATATTTTTATAGATTATACTCCATTTAAAGTTATCGCAAAATAATACCTACATTTTCCTGTGCTGTACAATACAATTTTGTTGCTTACCTATTTTGTACAAGGTAGTTTGTATCTTATAATCCCATTCCCCTCTCTTGCCCCTCCCCCTTCCCTCTACCCTACTGGTAACCACTAGTTTACTCTCTATATCTGTGAGTCTGTTCCTATTTTGTTATATACATTCATTTGTTTTATTTTTAGATTCCATGTATAAATGATATTCTGCACTATTTATCTTTGTCTGACTTATTTCACTAAACATAATAGCCTCTGGGTCCATCCACGTTCCTGCAAGTGGCAGAATTTCATTCTTTTTATGGCTGAGTATTATTTCATACATATATGTACATTGGTCTATTAATGGACACTTGGGTTATTCCGTATCTTGGCTATTGGAAATAATGCTGCTATGAACACTGGGGTACGTGTATCTTTGTTTTTTTTTCCAGATATGTATACCCAGGAGTGAAATTGCTGGATCATATGCTAGTTCTATTTTTAGTTTTCTTAGGAACCTCTGTACTGTTTTACATAGTGGCTGCCCTAATTTACATTCCCACCAGCAGTGCATGAGAATTCCCTTTTCTCCACAGCCTTGCCAATATTTGTTATTTGTAGACTTTTTGATGTTAGCCATTCTGTCAGGTGTGAGGTGATATTTCATTGTGGTTTTGATTTGAATGTCTGTAATAATTAGTGATTTCTTAGCATCTTTTCATGTACCTGTTAGCAATCTTTATGTCATATTTGGGAAGATGTCTGTTCAAGTCTTCTGCCCATTTTTCAATTGAGTTGTTTTTTTTTTTAATATTGAGTTACGTGAGTGCTTAGAAGTCACCCTGGGTCTAAGTTGCCTCTGTGTCCCATGACTGAGCTCTCTCCCCAGTGGTGGCAGACTTTGGGTCAGTGCAGAGCTGCAGTGTGAAGGAAGCAGGACTGGAGCATTTGCTCAGCTCAGGCTAGGGTGCACACTGGGACAGTTGTGGGAAACTGGGCAGCTGCTCTCTGCCCTGCTTGGGAGTAAGCCGTTGAGTTCACGCGCTCCTCATGAGTGGAGTCTAGGCTTCAGGGAGCCATTATTAGCTCTTCTTTCTCCTTAATCTTCATGTACAAGCCATGTTAGTTCAGGTCCTTCAAGAAGCAGACCCCAGGATGATACTGTGTAAGGATGTTGTTAAGATAAATGCCAGTGTGAGAGAACATAGGAAGGGGCTGTGAAAGGCTATCAAATCTGTCAAATCGCAGGGCAAGCCTGAGAGAAGCTTGGGTGGAAGTGTCCTAAGCTGCCTTGCCCAAGGCTATCCTTGTCCAAGGAAGATTCAGCAAAGTCATCAGAGAGTCCTCAAACCAAAGTCAGCCACTGGAGGAGTCCTGTGTCCCCCAGGAATGGGTCCACCTCAGTATTCTTCCTACACACTGTCACTGCTGGGAGAAGCCTGTGGGAGGAGTGGCCTCAGCACAACTCAGTGATATATTTCATGTCGTTGTGGGGTAGCCGCATGGGTCACTCATGCTGTCTCAGCACAGAAGCAGTGATTGGAAAGGACTCTGGGTAAGACCGAATTGCTGATCTTAGAGATCCTCTTGGAGAGATAGAAGGCAATTGGGACTCCTCTTGGGGACACAGATGCTGGCAGCAACCATTTTGGGAGCTTGTCTACCACAAGGACACAGGTGCAGACAAGTACCATGCTGGAGTCCTCCCTCTAGCCTGTAAGGAGCTAGCTGGGGGCTTCCCTGCTCACCAGGCAGCCAGCACCAGTCCTGGGCCTCCCCACCCACACAGCCAGCCACCCCCGGACCAAGATCTTCTCATCAGTGGGTCAGCACCAGCCTCAGACCCCTCTGGCCCACAGCCAGCTTATCCAGAATCCCTGGGCCCCATGGCCAACCACACCAGGGCCCAGCCCTGCACATCAGGAGGCCAGCACCAGACCTAGGATGCCTCCC